CAAGTATGTTACTCACATTTTTGAGATATACAGAAAAATGTACTCAGATATTAGTTCAGGAATAATCAAGGCTTATAAAGTTGAGTTAAAGGGTTTTCAAGATAAAATTAACCCTGATGTATTAACATTTCTTAAAAGTAAATGTAATAATAATGTTGAAACATCTATCCGTAATATAGAGAATATAAACCTATACTCATTAGATGAAGAAAGCGTTAAGGAATTAAAAAAAAGACAAAGTGACTTTTTTGAGAATACCTGCGTTGTAAATGTAAGTGTATATACTGCTATAATGCATAAATAAGGAGGTTATATTTTTAATTAAAAACATTTTATGAATATATATTTGAATTATGTAGTAGGTGCGTAAATAAAGTATATATTTTATACAGAAAATACAATTCAGTTTAATTACTTATCTTTATGTTTCAGTATAATATCTTTGAATGCTTAGATGAATATCAGAAAAGCGAACAAATAGATGAATAGAAAAAAACATTGTTCAATTTCTTTACTAATAGATGTGATAGCAAAAAAACAAAAAAAAATGATGTACAACAGAGAACTGTAATGTTGTGTAAAAGGTTTTGTAGAGTACTTTTTGAATTTGTATTATAATAATTTACAAAATAAATTTGGCATGAATAATTATTTTGGGTATTTGAATTACTGGTTAAACCTGAAATTAAAAGAGATTGGACTAAATATTATAAATTTTATTGAATTCCTTGACGATGGTTTGAATTTAACAATTTTTGAATTAAAAAAATACAATAAACTTAAAAGTAACCTATATGACACGAATGATGATGTGTATGAAAAAATGAATATATAATATAATTTGTATTATAACTATTATAAAATTATTAATGGTCCTGATAAGCAAAATAAGTGCTCAGAATATGCTAATGTTTGTATTGAAAAATTTAATAAAGGTGTAAATGTATATAAAGAAACCAGTAGTAGTAAATTTTATAATGCTTTGAACAAATTTGCAGTAATATATAATAACAATACAAAAATTGATTCATCACATTGTAAAAGTGAAAACATACTACAAATGCCGGAAATTGAAACATTAAGAGAAAAACAAAAGAATGAATCTGCAAAAAAAGCTTTATACATTTGTGAAAGCATTAAAACGCAAACGATAAATGTAGCTAATGCGAGGAAATACCAATATGTATATTATTACATTTTAATTGGATTTAATTTTTATATATTTATTTAAATATTAGTTAATGATTAAAAATAGAAACTAAGAGCACAAAAAAAAAAGGGTAACACGAATATACATATTTTGTCTTTTCAATTTTTAGGAAGACATTTTAGAAAAATTACTTGCTCATACAAAATATAAGAAGTTTAACGAAACAAAAATAGATGTACATATGTGCACTAGATATTGTGAAAATATTATAAATTATATAAAAAATGATAATGACATATATATATTTTTCTGCTTTAATTGCATCTAATTTAAAATATTTACGTACTATGGATGATATAAGAAAGAATTATAATGAATGTTGCTCATATTTTATTTACTGTACTTATTGCCAAATATTGAATAAATTTAATTCAACTCATATGTCTATTTATGCCAGAAATTTTATTAATGAGCTTAATAATGTAATTATTATTATTAATAATAAATTTCCAAAAAACGGAAGCCACTGTTTGTACTATGTAGACGGAAGTTTTGAAGAATAGCGTGAAGAAAAAGATTTACATTGTTATTTTGTAAATTTCGATAGTTTATATGAAATTAAAATTAAGAAGCATAATAATCTAACACACTGTTAATGCCTTGAGCTTATTAAAAATTTGTATAGAAAATATTTGATAACATGCTGTACATGCTATAATTATCAAAATTCTGAATGTTTATACAAATGTTCAAAATATATTAATTGTGACAAAATATACCATCCTCATAAGATTCTATCAAATTTTAAGTGTGAACAAAAAACACCCTCTGGGTGTATAGAAGATGTGTTTAAATATATAACTGTACATTTTGATGAACTAAAACAGAAGCCAGATAAATTATTAAATATAAAAGATGCACCCTCTGGGAGCATAGAAGATGTGTTTCAAAGTACAATTATTGGTTCCGATACTCTAAAAAAAACAGATGATATGTCATTATATAAGCATAAAACAGTATCACGTGATCCCTTTTATGCTGTGATATCGATTTCATTTCTTGGATTATTTTTTGTGTTCTTTATATTTTATAAAGTAAAGTGAATATTTAAAAATAAAATTAATAGGGGAAAAATATAATTTTAATAATTCATAAATATATATTTATATATCATTCCTTTTATATGCTTTAAAATTTCCATTCTTATGTTAGTTTACCCCCATTGGATCTATATTACATAGGAGAGTTCTAAAGAAAAAAATAATTTCTCAAAATATAAGTGAAGGGCATAATAAAAAATCAGTTCATAATAATCCATATTATAAAAGTGTAAATAATTCGAAAAAAAGAATTAGCATAGCTTATAATCATGCAAAATGTACTCATTTCAAAACTAGTATTGAATGACAACAAAAAAAAAAAAAGAATGCTAAGGATTATGGAACTTATTGTTAAAATATAATCGTATTAATATAATTTATGGTAAAAAATAAACATAATTTTTATATTTCATTCATTTGATAACATCATTCATATTTTTCTGTTACGTTTTATTTACATTTTAAATAATATTTGTGTTATAATTAATTTTTGCTTACGCTTTAGTATATAAAATTAATTCTTTTTACTTTTAAACCGTAGCTCCTCTACTTATATGGGGAATATAAATTTGTATTGATATTATTGTTTGAAAAAATGTATGTTTTATATGATATTTTAACTTTTATTATTAATATAAAAAATTCTTCACAAATGTAAAAACATTACAAAATTCCAATATCCTATTATATTTTTAATGTGTTGTCATAATCACATATATATTTTTAAAATGTCTCTGAAACATTAGATAAACAATATTAATTACTAATTGTGTAATAAAACAATAAGATTATTATTTTTTATGGGAAGACGTTGTTTAACAAAATGTTTTATGCCATTTTTATTTTGTTCCATACAATTTTTTTACATGTATACATTTATTACTACATGCTTCATATATTTATATATAAAAAATATTTATAAATTATTAAATTTATATATGTGAATTTTATAAGGGATTAATAATATAAATATATTTTATATGTTACGATGTTCAATTATTGTAATTACCTTTATCTGTGGAAACAACTGTTTATTCATATTAGTCTGATTAGTTAACAGAATATTACAATACATATTGAGGAATACATACAGATATATTTCTTATATAAGGTACAATTAATTTATCATACTTAATTAACAAACCAAAATGTTTTATTTTCCTATAATCATTATGTATTCTCGTTGATATATCATTACAAATATAATTCTATTTTAAAATTCATTTGATAATATAATCAAAATATTTTTTATATAATATTATAACACATTAAACTATAATTTAGTTTTTCAAAATATATTTAAATAACGTACCAGTGCTAGATATTTTATATATAAGAATATTTATAATATATTATTTTATAAAATGTAATGAAAATATATATATCATGAATATCTTAATACAATCTCTTAAAAATATTAAATAAAAAAATTTATATTTTTAAATATTAGGAAAATACCACATAATATATTCATGAGTGTATAAGAAACTGCAGTTCTTATATTAATGTGACTCATTAGAATATAATTAATATGGTAGTGATATAATTAATATTTGCGTACAGAGTTTTATGAAAAAAATAGGCAGTATTATTAACATAAATATAAACGTCTATGTACTATATATATTAAGTTTTAATTGTGATTATATAATATGAAAACATTTTTTAATTAAGTATATAGATAAATCCTATTAAATATGATACATTTAAAAAAAATAAAAAATATATGGCCATAAAAAAAATAAAAATACTCATATATTTTAATGTTCATTACTTTTAGTATTGGATAATGTGAATAATAAGTAGAGAGAACATGTAAACTTAGTATAAATGAATTATAACAAAATAATTATTATTGAAAAACAATAATAGTTAAGTTATTTATTTTATCATGATTTTTTAAAAATAGTAGAGTTATGAACATGACATGTTCATATTAAATTAAAAAGTAGTTACTATTATGCATATAATACTATAATAAATAAGAGTAATTCCTAACAATCATATTTAATAAAAATTCTCTTACATTATTAATTATTCTAATTACAATTATGTATAGTCTATAACATACTTTCTACAAAAAATTTAAATAAATTAATTTACAATGAATATAAGAAATCATGAATCACAGCAATCATAATTTTATTTTTTTGTGAATTAAATGAATAATCACTAATGTAGTTAATAAAATATAGAAATATGTATATATTTTTTATATTAAAGTTTTAATATAATGTATTAATTATGTGCAAAATACAATTTCTTGATAACAGATTAATAAATGTACTAAAAAAATAAATTAAGTAAAATATACACATTAAATCAATTTAAAGTTATTAAACATAAAAATACTATATACTGACAAATACGATGAGTTCTAATATATATTTATTATTTAAATATAATGCTTTTATTCGGAATAAAGAACATATATTATTTATGTAATTATAACACTTTAATTTAGATTTAATTATTAATAAAAAAAAATATATATATTATTTTTTATAAATTACAATTTTAAATATTTGCACACATTAACATATTTAACACGCAAATGTAAGGATGATGCTTTCACTTGTCTATAATATATTAAACAAATGTTATTTTTTCTAATATATTTTAAATGATATTTTAGGCAATATATATGGTATAATTCATCTAATTACAAGAATAATAATAAGAAATGTAAAAATATATACAATTAGAGAAAAAATTTTAATATAATTTTTACAAGAATAATAATATTCACTTTATTTTATTTCTGTATTTGTAACTTTTAATCTTTTATATTTTAGAACTTTTAAGATAATATAAAAAACTATTCCTAAATAAATAGCTAATATTGTAACGAATGGTATAACATATAATGGGTTAATAGGACCCATTGTACTCTGACCTTCACGAGTACTTCCTGGATTGGGTCCAAAAAATATATAAATTATTCCTCCAACTAAAACAATAACTGGAGATAAAAATCCACATACGCATTTCATTCTATAAGAGCTTCTTTTTGAATTTTTATTCATAATATTATCGTGTTCTTTATGCTTATATAATTTTTCAAGGTGACTAAATATTTTTTTTTCAAAGTAATAATCAATCCATTTTAATTTTTTATATTTAGTTGTTGTTTCATTTAAGCCTTTGTTATCACAAAGAAGGCTACTTTTTGAATATTTCTGTAATTCCTTATTTGTTTGTATATTTTTTGAGTTATTTTTTAACATTATTTCTTCCTTATTACATGATAAATATACATTTAAGTCTTTGTTATGAGGATAATTTACATTTTTACTAGATTGTTCATTTTTTATATTTAGTGGTCTATTTCCTGCCTCATTTTTTAACCCCATATTGTCATTATTATAAGATAATGTTCCTTTTAATCCTTTGTTATTATGAGGAATGCTATTCTTTCTACATAGATCATCTTTTGTATTTAATGGCATATTTTCTGCCTCATTCTTGAACTTCATATTTCCATTATGGTAAGATAGAGATACTTTTAATCCATTCTTATTATGAGTAATGGCATTTTTTCTGCATACTTCAACTGTTTTATTCATTGGTATATTTTCTGATTTATTTTTTAACCTTATATGTTCGTTTTGAAGTGATAGAGGCACTCCTAAGTCTTTATTTTCACGTTTTTTTGGAAAATCATTTTTTGCTAATAAGCGTTCATTTTGTATATGTAACGTTTTGTTTTTATTGTATGTATTATCCAAATATGTCCCCAATAGACACTGAATAAATAAAATGAAATATATTTTTTTATAAAATAGCTAGCTTCAGATAAAACATATACAGATTTTAAATATATATCATATTATAAATAAGTATTCAAATATTATAAAATATTATTTAGTACCCCTTTGTTAAAATATGGATATATCCATGCTAGTAGAATAAATATTAGAATTCTTGTAAAAATTACAATCTTCATATTTCCTTCCATGTTGAAAATACTTAATTGTACCATGATAAAATATACTTAAAATAACTAATTTTCTAGACAAGAGTAAAAATAGAAAATAGAAATATAATTTATGTGTGTATTTCATGCATAACCTTATAATTAAAAATAGTTCAAATGATATCAATATTGATAAATTAAAAAATTTATATATACAATTTTAAATATAACAGTTGTATGTGTTAAATAAATTTTTATACATGTTAATTTTAAATAAGATATTTTTAAAATTCGTCACTGATCTACTTTCACATTCTTTATTAGTTTCAAATAAAAAATAAAACTAGAAGGGAAAATTACATGTTAACATACATATGCATAAAATATTATTAAAATTATATATATTTTTTAAACCTCTCATTGATGATTATTTACAGTATAATGAGAAACAATACTAATTAATGGGTACTTATGTAAATGCGTATATTTCATCCATAATAACTCCATGGTATTACACTGCTATAAAAACATTAACCATTAAAAGTCACAATATACATTGCACTTTATTACAAACAAGATAAGCGAAAATAATTATAAATACATCTAAATATATATATTTAAATTAATTATATATTTCACATTTATAAATTTCCAAAATTAGAAAATTATATCTGTTCTCATATATGATTATACTATAGCTTTATGATCTATGTATTTATGAGCATGTAAAAAGTAGACAACGATTTTCATATATCTAATTCTATGAAATGAATTATAATAACAAACATGAATTATTTAATAAGTACATGATAAAATTTTAAGGATAAAGATCCCTGAAAATTTTGGATAATATTCTTACTTTTAAAATATTTTATTTTAATACTTCCTAATTTAATGTTCTTCCTTTAATGCTAATTGTTTTTATCTTAGTTTTAGCTTCTATCATAGAAATCTCATGGTCTATTCTTGTGATTTATGTTTCTGCTTTTTTTTTTTTTTTTTTGCATTTGTTTTTCTTTTTTGAAATATATTTTTATTATAGCGTTGGATGCTTGGATTTTATTTTCTTCTTTCAATATTAGATATTTTAAATTTT